CCTTTTTTTTTGTTTATTATTTTGATTTTCAGGTTGTTTACACATATATTTATCTTGTTTCAATTATTTGGATGATATGGTGTACGTTTGATATAATAAAATTTCGTCAACAATGGATGAAATTAACATCATCAGTTCATGATCAAGAAGAATATATGCATATTGTTGAACATTATCCAGATAGAATATCATATTTTCCTGATACGTATAATACTAGTGGCTTATTTATGAGAATTGGAGCTGGATGTAAGTGTTAAAATTATTTGTAAATAAATTAAGGTCAATGTTTCTGTTGATCATTAGTACTTTGTATGGGTAGTCTTATTTTGAATATTATTCAATTAGCAAAAACAATTGAAGTAATACGAACTGGTTCAAAACAAAATGAATTACTTTTAATTAATTATTCACAATCAGTGTTTGTCATTAAACTAATTACTTTTATATTTCGCTTTCTTTTTCATTGTGTGCAATTTATATTTTTATTTCGATATGGAAATGTGAGTACTGAAATGAAATTGTTAGTTTTTTTTCTTTTTTTGTTTGTCTTTAAAAATTTTTCTTTTTATAGATTGTTATTGACCGCTATCATTTAATGGCAAGAATAGGTCTTATTCATATAATTATTGCTAACTTTTGTACTTGGTTTGAAGGTAAAAGAGACACTTTATTATAATCGAAAAATAATTTCTATACTTTTCTTAGCTATTGTAATTGAAACATTGGATGAATTACGTAAACATTCAATTAGTATAAAATCAATAAATATACCGATGATTTTCAATACTAGAAGTATAACTAAAACTATCATTCCAAAATCAGGTATTTAAAAAAAAAAGCAAAAAGAAGACAGAAGTGGAACAGAATGACAATATGACATGACATTGTCAACATTTAATTTACGAGCAATATATTCTTTAGCGTCTATACCCACGCATAAATAAAAATAATATGTTGATGGAAAATAATAACATTGACAATAAATCTTTCTTTTTTTGATAACCAATGTACTATGCCAAGAAACGTTATTACCATGGGAAAAAAAAACAGATTTCTCTTAATGCTTAAAAATACTATTGTTCGTTAATTTAAGTATTGTTTTTTTTTGAAATCAAAAAAAAGATCTATTTGATTTTTATCAGCTGATGAGATGTCAAGAATACTACTAGTTCAGATGTCCTTGTCATATCCGATACTCTATCAAAATTCTACGACTTTAAGAAAGACATATATCTTGTATAATATACTCTAATGGATGAGCGATGCAGATGTCAATTCAATTATTTAAATGAGACAATGATAATAGATATTTCTTCTTCTTGATTATTAATCTCATCATGTCAGCTGGAATTCATTCAGAAGACAAATTTCGTAAAAGAATTTTATTAACTTTTCCTCATGTCATTAAATTCTATCTTTTCAAAAATTAAAAACATACTTTTTTGAACTTCATATATTGATCGATCAGTTACAAAATTTCATTTCATAGAAGAACTCTTTAGAAAAAGAACTACGATCTAAATAAAAAAAAAATTCGTTTGTTATGTTACAAAATAAATTTCTGTTGTTATTTTAGTTAGTGGATCTTTCTTCGATAATTCACATAATACTACAACAAATGCTCTTGAATTTATTGAAAAAATAGAATCAAGTATGAGTGTATATCTATATCCATGTTTCATTGAATATAGTCTTATATGTGTAACTGTATTCTATATCATGTGGCGTAATGTTGGTAAAACAGAACATCGATCATTTTTACATTTTGGTGATCGTCATATATTTACAATAGATTGTTCTCGTGCATCTCGTGGTTTACTTCTTGGTGGTATTATTTTTATATTAACCATATTAACACTTATACCAGTTTATATTCTTAATTCAATATTAACAATTCTAATAACACATATAACTAAACTTGTTTTACTTATTGTTTCATTATTAATTGTTTGTATATCTTTCTTTTATACAACAAAACTTTACTATGATCGACAAGCACATATTGATGTATTTGATCAAATACTAATATTAGTAACAACATTTGGTGATTTTGCTTATTCATTTTTTGGTTTATTTGCATCTATATTTATTGAATCATATAGAATTCAACTTCCAAGATTTATTGAAATAGTTATAGCTCTATTATCTATTTTACAAACATTTTTACAATCTGGTTTTATTTTGGATACTCTAAGACGACGATCAATTACAAAAAGTGAAATAAGAACAAAACCAGGACGAGAACTAATAACTGCTTTGTTATTAATTAATCTCGGTAAGCGACTGTTATTCTTATTTATATAAAAAGAAAAACATAATTATAGAATCATATACCATTTTATTTATTCAATATATGTAAATATAGTTGACATAGGTCAAAGAAAATAGGTAACATTCATTAGGCAAACTTCGTTATTTTCAAAAGAAACAAATATGTATATATTCTTCGTTATTTCTTATATATAAGATAAATGATTTTCTTACTTTGAAATAATTAAATGAGGATATATTGTTGTTTTTTCTTTTGTTTTCGAAAATAATTTTTTCGTTGTTTTGATATAAGTTTATGATTTAGCTATATGGATGCATGATTCATTATCAGCAAATAAAGTTAAACTTAATCCAATACAAACTGAATATTATAATAGTAGAACATGGTCATTAATTCAAGCATTTACATCTCCATTATCAATATTATATCGATTTCATTCAAGTGTATGTCTTGCTGATATATGGCAAGAAGTTTATTATGATCATAGAAATTATCATGGACAATATCAACGATTTGAAAGACAAAATGGATTAGATCGTTTAAAATGAACAATATTCATCATAATCAATATTAATATTTTCAAATATAAATAATTCTTTTTCATGTAGATAATAAAATTTTTCATAATTTTGAAAAAGAAAAGAAAAGTGTGCTGTAAATCAAGGTTAATAATTGAAAAAAAGATAAAAAATTCTTTTATATTGCGTCTTTTTATAATAACACATTCTTTTCCTTACTATCTTCTCGTCATATGATGTTAAGATATCTTTAGCCTACAGACAAAATAATTTATTTAACACATTCAATCGTAGATATCTTATTATTCTGACTAACAAGAACTTTCTAGAATATATTAAACAATTAGATATATAAGACTAAAGGTACGAACGTATATGACAAACTGGGTCAACAATCTCTATATATCATGTTTTGAAGTTAATTATATTCTTCTGTATAATTTGATTGATATTTTTATGATATGAGTATAGGTAAAAACAAGTGCAATTATATTTTTTAATAAAATCTATTGACTAGAAGTTATATCATAATAAATCAAACTAATAAATAATAAGATAAATTATAGTTGGTATTTATAGATAAAAACAACAACAAATAAGGGATATGCTTATTATTTATCTATTTCGTTCGTATTTACTATAATAAGAGATAATGACTATCAGATGTTTTATTTCATGATAATGAACTACTAGTTGACTTTAATATTATTGCTTACGTTTAGAGAAGAAAATAATTTTGTGATATATGAGTTTATTATTAAATAGAATACAAATGAATTTTATTGCTAAATATTTTCAATATCTAAGATTTTAATAAGTTATAAACAAAGATCAAAAGCTGTTCACCTATTTATTGGATCTTCTTGTTAATCCTACTTTTTTTTTTCTTCTTATCAAACGCAATCATATTTATATAGTACTATTTATCTTTAAGTCTATAATATTATTAGTATTTTTCTATTTAATTATATTTAGTTTATAGATTAAAAGACAAAGAAAGGATATGTTAAATTTATATTAATTCCTTTCCTTTCATGCAACTAAACTCATTTTATCAAATCATCTAATATTTCCTGTTTTTCAAAAAGTGTAAGTAACATGATTAAGCAATAAATCAAGGAAAATATACTATTTTTTTATTTCTTTATTTACCATTCAAAATATAGTTCAGTAAGTATTGAAGAGAACAGTGATATTGCTTCAATTTGAAAATAAAAAAATCAATATTGAAAACATAATTGATCCTGTTATTTTCTTTCATAACTATAGATTTCAAAAAGATATCTATCGAATCCTTAAAAATACAAAAAATTTATTCAATGAATATTGAAAATTCGATTAGATGTATTCTTTTGAAATTTGATCTACATTCATTTTTAAAAAAATCTAAACACAAAAAAGAATCCATTTTTGTCCCTATCCTAATTTGTTCTTCATTAATCTAAGCACAAATTTCATTTCCATTCTTGATTGAGTCATTTAGTTTATTCGAGTATAAGAGCCAGACATAACAGATCCATCTTGATAATGTCTATCAAGAACATACGAGTCGTATCAATCTGACATTTGACATAAATTTTACACAACTATTAAAGGTATGGTTTCCGATGAAAAAAATTATTAGTTCCGCTTTTAATATTGACCGAAAAAACTTTGATCCTAACCAGTTAATAATAATTTTGTTTCGGTCTCGATCAAATTAAAAAAAAAAAGAAAACTTTGTCCTGATCTCGACACTATCTTGCCCATATTTAGTAAAGCCTTTTGGTTAACTTTCCTATTATTCAACTAGATCAACTGATTCTTTTTTTCATATGTCACAGAATTTTTATTCATATAAATTGATATTTGATTGTGTCATAAATTTAAAATAAAGCTTTTTTTTTTCTTTGATTGATGAGTAGCGACATCATTTACTTGATTTGTCATCAATAATAGTCAATAAAATACATTGCCATTTTTATTGTCATTATTTATGTATCTCCCTCATTCATTCTCGTCATTATTTCGACAATATTCTCCTTACATAAACAAACCTTCCTAGTAAATTATACTTGATAGATTATCGATGTGATAAATATATTTCTTTGTATTAAAAGTATTTTATCAAATTATCTCAGGTAAAAAAAACATATGATATTACTGAAGGTTCTCGAACATGTACATATATATATATATATATATACATTTTATTTTCATAATTAGGCATAATGGCAGCTTCGAATAAAAAAAGCTCAACATCCCATGATGTTAGTACAGATACAGATGATTCTGATTGTGCAAAAAATTGTTCAGATTCTAATAATAATAGTGAAAGTTCATCATCATCTATGCATCGAGGGTATTAATAATACGAAAAAAAAATTTAAAAAAACTATCAATATTAAAACTTATATTCTATTTATTTATTTTATTTTTTTTTCAATAGAATCAAACGAATAAATAATAAAATGAAACCATGTCTTGTACAAAAAACATCAACAAGTGATGAAGAACTTCAATTAAATGAAAATAATCAAATCAAATTATCTTCAACACATACAGGACGTTCAAATGAACAACCAACACATGGAATTCTTAAAGTTCCTAGTGGTAATTATTATTTATTTTATATATTTTTTTTTTCTTTTTAAAACTATTTTAAGGTTCAACAAGTCCTGAATTACAAGTACCAAATCATCCAATAAAACCATTAAAAATAAAAAATAAATCAAAATCTTCATCACCAATATCAACAAATGATCGTACATCAGGTATAATTGGTGCTCCAATACATCAATATCATCGTAATCGTCATAGAACTATTGATGATAATCGATCAAGTCCAAGTAAAATTCAAACAAATAAAAAAACTCAAGATCAAACAATTGTATCAACAACAATAACAAATAATTCTGATCGTATTACACTTGTTGTTGATGAAACAAGATTTGTTATTGATCCACAATTATTTCGTGCACATCCTAATACAATGCTTGGAAGGATGTTTAGTATATCATGGGAAACATCACTCGTACCTAATGAACGAGGAGAATATGAAATTGCTAATGGAATATCAGCAACTATATTTCGAAGTTTATTGGTAAGAATATTCAAATAATTATCTTAACGATAATACTTTCTTTTTTAATTTAGGATTTTTATAGTATTGGTACAATACGTTGTCCACCTTCGGTTAGTATACAAGATTTACGTGAAGCATGTGATTATTTTCTTATACCATTTGATCAACTAACTATTCAATGTCAAGATTTATGTAAGAGTTTCTTTTCTTTTGTTTAATGTTGTTTATTTTTTATTTTTTTGAATATTTTTTTTTTCAGGTGGATTATTACATGAATTATCTAATGATGGTGCAAAAAAACAATTTGAAATGTTTCTTGAAAATGATATTTTCCCTGTGCTTGTTGAATCTGCTCAAGTAAATTTGAATTTTTCTTTTTTACTTATATTGATTTAATTTCATTTATTTTTTTTAGCGTGGTGATCGCGAATGTCAAATAGTGATTTTATGTGATGATGATCTCATCGAATGGGATGATGATTATCCACCACAACTTTGTCAAGAAGAAGACAAAGCTCAAAGTAAAATGTTTTATACTACATTAGGAGTTAGTTCAAGGGACGTAGCCAGAAATTTTCTAAGGGGGATGCCTGCCAGCAGAAAAAATTTATTGATCCTATATATTGTTTTTTTAGCCTTGTACTCTCCTCCAGGCATTTTTTTTCTCCAAGAAGATGCCTAGGCCACACCCGTTGGGCACGTCCCTGAGTTGCTCATATTTAACATCATTCTGATCATCGAAAACGACTAATAAAATAACGTACTTCTATATTAGCTTTTACCGAAACTCATCGACCTTGACTGTGAAGAATAAATGGAACAATCTAGATCGAAGAGACTGATACAGTAAAAAATCGTAAAGGGTATAAAATCTGCTGATGGATTACAGTGGGAATGAGTGTCGTAATCATATAAAATGATAAAGTTTTGTCACTGTATAGTAAGCGGTACAGTTTCGAACTATTACTCGTAATTTACTCACTGCCATTAGACTCTACGTCACGCCTTGTGTATGCTTTTTTTCCTGTTTTGATGAAAAGTTTTATTGTATAAGTAGGCTTCGGTCATTAAGATTAACACACGCTAATTAGATACGTAGTATATGTGTGAAAAAAAGGTATACAAACACAATAATACGTTCTTGTGAAAGAAGCTTTGTAGTTGTCTAATACAAATATACAAAGTCCAACAAAGATACTATTTCGAATCCGAATATTATCGTAATCGTTCCACCATGTGTTGTTTTCATGTTCTCACCTATGATAATTAATAATGAGAAGTGAGATAAATAAAAGATATGAAAAATGTGTAATTTTTTTTTGATAACTTGATGATTGAGGTCACCATGTAACAGTACACAAAGATGTTTTTGAAGGGTAGATTCAAAGAAATTTCAATAAAATTTATCGATTGCTGCATAAAATAATTAGAAATTGAATATTCATCTTAATAATAAGACCGATTGAATTGTAATTCAATCTCAGCAAAATACTTCAAAAAAGTATTTAAATACAGTTCGTTTGTTGATTATAAACAGGATCATCCGCATTATTTCATTATATATATCGTTAAAGTTGTTTATCACTGTACTTTTCTATTTCATAATGATGCAATGTAAACAAGTAACTTAACGGCAGTCATTTTTGACTCGTTTACTAAATCTTCTATATCACGTGAGAAGTAAAGTCGTTAAGTTGATTTCGGACCCAATGGCCTCTAACCGTCTGATAAATCTATATGATGGATTAGTCATTGAATACAAGGCGCCGAAAATAAGTATGTCGCACCTTCGAAATAATTATCCGACTTTGATTAAACAATTTCATTCAGAATATCAAAGTATGGTTCTATATATCGTTCAAGTCCAAAAATTTTGAATTCAAAAGATTCTAATGAAGAGTTAACATTTTAACAAGAACTGATGAATTATCTTAAATGCTAGCAATTACATAAACTCATAATTGAATTGATAAAAATTAATAACATCATATATGAATAATTGTATAAATAATATTTAACATTTTTTTTTTGTTCTTATTTTAGTTATACGTTCAACTGCAATGTATCGATTTTTTAAATATATTGAAAATCGTGAAGTAGCTAAATTGGTGCTAAAAGATCGTGGTTTAAAAAAAATTCGCATGGGAATTGAAGGTTATCCAACACATAAAGAAAAAGTTCGCTGTCGTCCTCGTGCTCGACCAGAAGGTTACAAAATAATCATTCAAATTTTTCTCGAATAAAAAAAAAAAAATTCTTCTTTTTTGTATTTTAGCTATTTATAGTTATATTCAAAGACCGTTTCTTCGTATGTCTTGGGAAAAAGAAGAAGCTAAATCACGTCATGTTGATTTTCAATGTGTACGAAGTCGTTCAGTGAATAGTCTCATTGATGCAAATGATGGTAAATTTAAAAAAAAGAAAAATAAACAAATGAAATTAAATTTTATTTTCTATAGATCAAAATTCTGGTAATGCTTTACTTTTTCCATTTCTAGAAATTGCTCAAAATCAAATAATTCCACCACCACCATCACCTAGAGAGCTATTTCCTGCATTAGCACCATTTTCTTTATCAGGACTTCCGGGCGATACATCATTGACTGATTAAATTATATGATGGAGAATGTTCGATCTTTCGATTTTTTTTTTTCTTCTTTCAATTGTACACTTAATGTTTCTTTTTCTTGTCACAAAAACTTGTCTCTTGTATGCGTGTTCTCGCATTGAAGATAATGAAAAAGCAACTAACGCAAAAAAGTATTGTGTATGATGTATATATATATATATGCGTAGGATATGATTAATTTAATTTTTAACATTTATTAAATACGTTTCTTTTTTTTTTTGTTTTAAAAAAAGAATCATGCAGTAAAATAGATATTAATGAAGAATTATAATATATGAGTGAGATTGATTATGTCGAATATGGAAGAAATACGAGTTTTAAAGAGAATGAAACTATGAGTTTTAATTAGAATTTTAATTCAAATAATGTTACAAGTTTTGTATAATAGAAATCAAAACAAATAATACTTAAGTACAATCAATTTTATTTGTATTAGGAGATGTATGTTTAATATAATATGCTAATATTTTTCATTTCAAATAATAATAAGTTGAAAGAAGATACAAAATAAACATTTACATTGGTGACGAAGGCAAAAAAATGGCTACTGAGGGAAGCTCTTCAGCTGCCAATTCGCTTTTCAGTTGAGGGCATGTTCAATAAATGAGTGTTAGAAAGTAAATAGAAAAATTTAGAATAGTTTGGTTTTTTGAACCTTCATTGTCGAAGTATGCAAATTTTGCTGAGTTTTTCAACAAAAAGCTGTGTTCGTGTGAAAATTTTATTTTTGACTTCAAATTGTGATCAAATGAAGTTCCTAATAAGATTAGCTGATTGTTCAAGCTTTAGTTCTCGTATGCCTTTGGTCAAAATGCAAAAATATATCAACAAAACTTGCTTTTATACATGAGAGAGATTTCGAATATCTCAAGATAAGAGAGACTAACAAAATGATATCATCTCCAATCAATTTATCTTATTGAGAAGTATATTCATACAAATTTTGAAATCGAGCGTTGATTTTTCATGTGATCTAAGAGAGATTACGAATAACCTAGTAAACTTGAATATCACAAGAACAAAGGCCCAGAAAATCAAACTATTGTAGACTTTTCTATTACTCACTAGTACTCATCAAATGAGAAACACCTTGGTTGAAAAGCGATTTGACATTTGCAAAAAGTTCTCTTATGAATCAACGGCGTAACCAAAGAGAAAAGCAAATGGTCAATTGCTCATTTCATTTGGAAATTTGCCTTTTGTAATTTTTATTAGTAATTTTTTGTCTATTGAAATTTTACTTTTTCAGAATTGTTTATTTATTTTTGAATTTGATAGTAACTGTATTTTTTTTTTCGTCTGAATTACACATACAGTCTTTGCTTGTTCTTTCTGTGAAGAATGAAAACAAGAAGATGAGACGAAATCGCTTCTTGTATCTTAACTGTAAGTTCGGGTGCACGTGAGTTCGATTTTATTAGAAAAACGCTAATCACATAGATGTAAAGAAGGATAGATCAAAAAAACGAAAAACAATAACACACACAAACGTACATATGTGAGGATATGTATATATAGACTGACGCGTATAAGAGAACGGAAAAATCTAATGATGTATATGTGAAAACATGAAGGAAAAAATCAAGATATAAAATGACCTAATTCGTAGGGATTTTGGTGTGTGAATTTGTAATATAAATGTTATAGACAGAGACATTAAAAACAGAATAAAACATATCTGACTCAGGCTTAAGATCTGAGTTTGATATATATTTGATTTGCATTTTTTTTACTTTATCAGTACTTTATTGGGTCAACAAAGTTTTGGTCTATCAATAAAATATCATGTCCATTTTATCCATCGTTTTTTCTGACACAAGAGAAATTTGACCAGTGATCTGAAAATTCTACTTACGCTGCTGTTCTCCGCCACTCTCTGGTTCCACCAGTACTCTACATAATTTATATAGATCGCATGGATACTAACGTGTTGAAATATTTTTTTAATTAAATTTTAATGTAATTTATCTCATTGCAATTAACAATAGTCATTAAATTTTTTAGCAATGAAAATCAAAGATATCTAGTATTAATGCTAAACTTGATATAAATATCTTTCCTTGATTTTCTATCAAAAATCATTATATGAATTTGTAAAATTTTTAACTAATGTGTAAGATTGTTTTTTTTTAATATATGACATGTATTGATCAATTTGATTTTCAAGGTTTTTATTAATGTATGATATATATCTATAAAACCTACAGATAGAATCAAATTATTTTCAATAAATACTTCAATTACGACTATTTTCTCATTTATTATTAACTTTATTTGACGGCAACATACATTTTTTTTTCAATTGAATTTTACTTAAAATTATTGACTTGTCGTGTCGCTATAATCGTAATCACATATGCGTAAACGTTTTATGCGTCTACCACTGGTTGTTCTTCTATCCATATTTTATTAATTCTCGTAGTTAACGTGTTCTATATGTATATGGTTAGTCATATTAACTGTCGTCATTGATAATTTAAAAAATAAAATTTATCATATATACTTCGTAAAATTGGTCCCGTGATTGTTTTCGTTTCATCTTTTAGATGTTTACCATCAATAGTCATTTTCATGTCTAAACATCGTAGAAATGCCAATTTTCATCTATTGTTTTTTGTACGAAATCAATTTTGGTCCTTGCTTATACCGTCGATAGCTATTCTATTTTTAACATTTTGTCCACAACTATCTCAATCAATTGAAGTTAATATTAAGGATTATAACCAAAAAAATGAAAATCCTGATAGAACTGTTGCGAAACTTGGTCCACGTGAAATTCAACTAACAACAACATTAACACCATCATTACTTTCAGTGCCTACAGCATCATCAACTTCAAAATTTGATGACTTCATGTAAGTAGAGCATTTTAATTATTATCGATTAATTAAAATAAAAAGTATAGAGTATAATATTTCTAATAAAGAAACATATTATATACTTTTTACGATAATTTATCACACATTATTGAATACAGCTCATCCAGTAGTAAACAATGCGATCGTCACAATCACGATCATGTGTTATGGTGATTAACTAGAAGTACATAGACGCTTTATCTACAGAGGCAAGGTGTACATATGTATCATTTTTCCATAGGCAAAATCTGTATCGTCCACTATGCTTTTTTGAAAAAGTATGAAGCAGCATGTATTTCTAGAGTAGCAGATGTTATGTACATTTCGCTTTCACTGTGTACATATGCCATTAGAAACACTGCAGGACATTTGCAAACAAACAACTTCTACTATTTCATTCTGTTCTTACTAAGCGAATCTAATGAAGAGTATACCAGATAGCTAATACCTTTAAACCATGAACAATTTTTCTCAAAAGATGTTTAAACACCATGTTTTTGTGATTTCACGCAATGGTAACTAAAAAATGTTAGTCATGCAGGACACTAAACCCGAGCCACAATGATTATATATATTCGAATCCTATCGAACTGTACTTTGATAGTTACTATAGAATTTAAGAATCGGAATGAAACAGTCGCCTTGAATATACGAGATACTTTGTTCCAACTTTTTTTTCTATCTGATGATTAGCGCACTCTACACACTTCGTAGACGACTAGAGCTCACCGCATCAAAAGTTTTCGTATTCAAAGTCAATGCACTCTATCATTTAGCCTATCGTCAAATTACTTAAAGAACATCCTTGAACGCAATCTGTATTATTAAGTGAGAGTTTACTGATTGGGAAATTTATTGTCTCAAAAATAAAGCTTATTAAATTGAATATTGAACAAAAATCAAATTCTTTTTTTGTTGATTTTTTAGTCATACTTTATATGTAATTTCTTTGGATGGTAAAATAACTGCAATCGATGCTCATGCAAATGGTCGCCAATTATGGACAGCTGATACAGGAGCACCATTAATTGATTCAAGTTTAAGTAAAATTGAAATATCTCGTGATTCACGATCAGTTCGTCTTATTCCATCACTTATTGGTGGTCTTTTTGAAAAATATGATGAAGATGGACATGTTGAACCATTACCATTTGATGCTAGTGATTTACTTGATGCATCATTTAAACTTCATGAAGAATTAGTAATCACAGGTGGAAAACATATTGATACACTTGGTCTTGATTTACATACTGGACAAGTATGAAAAAAAAGAAAAAAAATAGAACAATTAAATATTTAACTTGTTACTTTATTTTAGGTACTTTATTCATTTTCAAAAGACGATCCAAAACAAAAGAATACATTCGAGAATAATAGAACAACAACAACAACAGATAGTACTGATTCTAGAGCAACATTAGTTGTCAAACGCACAACACAAACTGTAAGAGCACGAAGCGCTCGAAATGGGCATGAAAAATGGAATTTTAGGTAAACAAAACCCTCTTCCTTTTTGTAAATTTATTTTAGTAGAAATAATTTATCATAATTTAGTGTTTCAAATAATGAATTACTTCATTTACATTCTCCACCAGCTGCAGCCGTTCTTGGAGAAATTGATGGTGACACAACATTCTCTGGTAACAAAAAGACAAAAAAAACAAGCCTTTGAAATAAATAATTTATTTATTTGTTTAAAGGCTATTTTGAATATCAATTACAAACTGGCGTAGTATTAGCATTTGATAAGACAGGTCATCCTACTTGGTCTTCACCAATTAATGCACCAATAGCTTCTGTATGGGAATTAAAAAATGGTAAATTAAATGAAAAATCTTTATTTGAAACAACAGCACCCAATCACTTTTCAACAGATGATTCAAGTAAAGAAAAAATATAATAAAGCTCTTTATTTATTTCTTATATTTAACCCTGTGATCTTCAAAAGATAGCTACCTTATGATAGGTGTATCTGTTAGGATGATATATAAAATGTCAACAAAAAAAAAAATGACACAACAAAAGTAAAATATAACGCAGAAAATAAATTCTTATGATAAAAGATAATTAAAAAAGTTCATAAATGACAATTGCTATGGAGTCAAATGAATCGTGGTTTCATGA